TGTGTGTGTGTGTGTGTGTGTGTGTGTGTGTGTGTGTGTGTGTGTGTTTTCCCCTCCATTTTGCAAGTTTGCTTTCTTTCTGAGTTACATTTGAAAGATCCTCTTACTGTTCTATAAATATTTGGCTTGCTCTGGTTTCCAAATAGCACCAAAAAAAACACACATAAAGTGACTTATTTCTTTATTTTTTGTTCAGAAGAATTAAAGAAAGAAATCTTATTAGTTCATTTTTAATCTCTTTATGTGCTGGTAGGTTGATTTTTTTTACCTTTGGACAGAACCACACACGCAGTTTCTCCTCTTTTCCAGGTTTTGTGCAAAGTTTACAAGCTCTGGCCCTGAGCTTAATTGTTGGAAGATTGTAAAATGCATTTATATGACATATTACAATGCTTGTTTCTAAACTCTTGGCAATAAATTGGTACAACTTGATCAACTGATGCATACTTTAAAGTCGTAAACATTAAGAAGCAGAAGTAGCATTTATAGCAGTTTTAGCACATCTGGTAAATGCTTATTTATTTTCTGATTTGTCCAACAGGAAGATGATTCTGATTGTGGAGGAGGGACCTGCCTGAGCCCGAGTCTCTGGCCTGTGGTTGCTCTCCAACTACTGCTACTGTGGCTAACAAAATCTTCACTCTCATGACCCCCACACATACTTACATGGCCACTTATCCACTGATGATCATCACATTTCACAGGAGGCCAAAGGACTCCCCAGGCCATGTGCCATACAGGATGTATGCAGAATCTTTGCAACACAGATGACCGGTATCAGCATTTTCATTCTCCAATGCCAAAGGGTGCTCATTCATTTCCTCCTTGTCATTTTCGAAAATAGAGACACATCTATTGTGCTCAGCTGCACACATTTCCATTATGTACACTTTAATCCTCTCCTATGGTGCAAAAGTAAGAGCTAACCAAACCCTTTAATTCTGCCTCATTTGTGTCTCTGGTTTCTTAAGCAGAGGGTAAAGAGTTATCCCACTATGCCAACTGAAGGTCATTCAAAGAGTGTATGTCCACTGACAGCATTGATTTGTGTAGTTGTCAGTATTGTTTGTTGCTTATTATAGTTATTGCACATGGATCATTATGCTGTATTGACCATTTATTTTTGCAACCAGTGAAATTATTGGGGATTCCCCCTCAGTCTGAGTGTTTTTAATGTGGAATACCTATCTATCTACTTTTTTTCTTTTGCTAAATCAACTAGCATTTTTAGATGAACTAGGTGTTGTATTGTAGCAGCATGTGCTCAGTACAGAGTGTGAGACAACACCAACATGTTGACACCAAAGCTCCAAATAGCACCAAGACACAATGGTATAGAAAATGCTGCTGAGAAGGTGCACACTAGTTTTTTTTTATTTCAAGATATTCTTTAGATGTGGGTGCACATCAATACACAAGTTACAGGATTAGCTTGATACTGTAGAGATCATACGGAAGCTGCTTCTCCCTGAGAGATATGTGATGTTAGATTGCACCCAGTCAAACAATCTTTAAGAGGATATTACGATCTAGTATATATCTGTGCTAGGACTCACCAATTTGGTTGTGTTTCGTTTGATGCATCAAATTCCCAGTGCCTACATAGTAGCTCAAACAGTCTGGTTTCTAGATAAAGCAATGCATGAGAGTTGTACTTATCATGTTTGCCTCTATGCTAATGCTTGCTGCAGAATAACAGAAGGGAGGGAGGGGGTGGGGTGGGTTAGCTCTCATAGTAATAGTTTATGAAATGGGCCAAATCTACTACTGTAATTCTAATTTATTACAACATTACCAGCAATTAGTGACTTAGTAGAAGAATATTATTTTCCTCCCTGGGGAAAACAAACCTAAAACATACTTGAGCTTACATTCCAGATTCTCCCTCTTTCTTAATCCTGTTTCCGTTCCTTTTGTGGATCACCAGACTCAGGAGCCAAGATGACTTGTGAATGAGATCAGCATATCAACATGACTGTTTCTTTCTTTTCTCCTCCTTGCTGTTCTCCTCCTCATGCGTGTTTCTTCTTTGTGTTGATCTATAAGTGCTGTGATGCAGATGCTGATGGCTCAGCGTTGAAATGCTGCAATGTCATGGGATGAGCTTGTTTTGTGTACGAACACGTCAAATGCCTATGATCAGCATCAGGGCTTGCTGGAGAGAACTTTTGGAACACATTTATTACCAGTGGTAATTCTGCATTGCCTTACTTTATCGTAGTTCATCAGGCTCACAGGTACGTTAGGTCTTTTTAAGTTAACTTTATGTTTTAAATATTAGGGTTCTCTCCACCTTGCCGTCATGGTGACATACTGGTATTAAGTGATCAGGTGTTGCTGTCTATCAAAGTTTCGTGCTGACTTGTGTTTTCACCAGGGGGTCCTGTGTCTATGTGCAGGCATGTGCGAGTCCCTCCTATTTCTGATTGTGCTTTAATACCGTACATAAATACTCTTTTTGTGGAACTTCAATAGCTTGAAGAAATTTTGTATACATTTGTACACTAATACTATTTACTGTATAAAAGAAAAATGTGAAACGAGAGAAAAAATGTTTATAATATGGTGTTGATTACTGTGCAAATATATATTCACAATAAAAGTGTTGTATTGTTATGACCTGAGATTCTTGTTTTTCTTACACATTTTGCATTGGACCAATTGACAGCTAACTAAACATGTTATACCTACTGCATGATAGATAAAAACCAAAAAAAAGTACAAAATATGACATTGAATAAACAGGCAATCTAATCTAACAACGCCACTAATGTGTATTACACACCAATCCTCTTCTTTGAATTTCTATGGAGGACTCTTTACATTTCTATCGTTTCTGAAATGGTCACAGAGACATATACCCACAATTAATCATTAACGTGTTTTCCTTTTTATTTCTTTTTGCAGTTAAACATGGGCGCGCACAGATGCTTTTTCACTGAACTGACATCATGAGGAAAACAGGAGTTATCATCCAAGCATGACATTTAGCTGTATGTGGAATAACAGCATGGTTGCTAATGCCCTGCAGAGAGTTTTGACAGAGATACTATCCCATGTTTCTAATTTTGTTGTGCCTGTTGCAGCAACATGATTGACAAAGGCAGCTCTGCTGTCTCCTGCCTGCAGGAAGTAGGGGAAGGCCAGATGCTAACACCAGAGTTAAGGAGCAAAATGCATACATAGTAAACTTCAGCTGACGGTGCTGTGTTTGTTTGATTGTAATCTAAGAATCAGTCTGGCCACAGTTTGGAGTGGTGGGTGTAAAAAATGTTTGTTTTTCCTTATAAATGCTTTATGGCCGTGAGGCACTTGTGTGTGTGCTATATATCAATAATCTTGAAACGAGGTTGAAATAAGATACTTTTGTAAGTAGGCACAAGGTCATAGCCTTTGGCCCTGTGATGAACTGGTGAGCCTCTTGCCCAGTGGTCACTGAAATTGACTCCATTCTTATCCTTTTTACTGATTTATTCTTTGCCTTTCGTATTATGGCACAGCAGTAGTCTTTTTTTAAAATAAGAAAAAGGCTTTAATTGTGATAAGGGTTTTTTCTGTAGTTTTATTTGGTTTTGGCTAAAAATGAAATCACCAATCTAATGTAGGTAAAGTAAAGTAGTTTCAGGCTTATAAGACAAAGTCTAGTTATCATAGCCAAGTTGAACCCTTTTTTTCCTTTCAGTTGAAAAATGTCATCGGAAGCTGAGCTGTGGACATGTATAATCAAGTTTTTTAAGTCAAAATCAATTTAACAGTGTTTTGTTATGATGTCACACATCACAGTGGCTGATGCACAAAGCATTAGTTCAACTTAAGTGATGGCTATTTCTTGTTTCTATTGTTGTGCTTATCTAACATGCACATTCCTGATGAACATCACCAATGTTTGCTTTGTGAAAAAAAGAGTATTTCTCACATTCTAAAACAAACTGAAAGTGTGAGATTCACTGTTAGTTCATTTAAATCATAAGCATTGCTTTTTTGGATTCGTGAAACCCAGTGCAGGAAATGACAGCGTGACCTATGGCTGGATCTCAAAGGATCAGCATGTCATTAGTAAAATCCTGTATAGGTCAATGACACTACTGTGATAGTAATTTTACTTTTACCAGAATTTGCTATTTTCAGAGCACAGTTACAACCCAGTGACCCTTTAACACCAACCCCTTGGCAGCCTCTGGGTCATGATGCTTTCAGGTCAATCAACCCACATCTGAACGAACTCTGAATCTGTTAACTATAATGCAGTTTACATTATCTTCAACATCCTTAATTGACAGCATTTTCCATCATCGCAGAACTGAACTGCTGGGCCATCGGGGTCATGAGTTTGACCATTTCCGGCGTGGGTGCATAGGTAGTTAAAAGATGCCTTTCCCCATTTAAGAGAGATCTGTGTTTTTTCTTCAGGCTTTGATAAAAATAGTCTATTATCAAAGTATAGCTGTGTTCCGTAAGCCAAGCGACACAAAAACAAAGCCTGCTTCCAGTGCACTGCAAATTTCATTAATGTAAATGTTAAATTTCATTAACCCTTATATTATGTTAAGGGTCAATTTGACCCGTTTCAGTTTTTGTGTTGGTAAAAGGGCTGGTTGTCCTTTTTTTTTCTTCATGAAATTTGGTGACTTTTCCTCATCTGGGGTCATGAACCTGTGTGTGAAATCTGGTTACTCTGCTGTGTACGGGGGGGTCTGTGCAGAGTTTGTATACAAAGATGATGTTGCGGGTCAATTTGACCCGGACACCATTAATGTAGGTAATTAGCTGTTCAGATCCAAAATAAACATGTCTCTTCAGTGTATTTGTATTTTCATTGCCTCTGAGACCCAGACCAAGGTGTTTGTGAAGGGTTTGGGTCTGAGGGTCTGTGTAAAATACTCAACATCACCACACCAAAGTCGAGGCAGACTGTCATCATCCAATGTGATCAATATGACTCCCGTCATACAAGATTTGCCGTCACAAGAGTTGATTAGATTCAGTCAGCATTTCAGATCATCATAACCCCACCAATAGAGAGGATGATACTGGATATGACCAACTTAGAGGGGAGATGTGTGTTTCAAGAGAAATGGTAGCCACTGGATCAGACTGACTTGCATGCTTACGTTAGAGTTCTGTTAGTAGCCAGAGTGTACAGGTCAAAGGAAGTAGCAACTGCAAGTTTATGGATTGAAGACAATCCTTGTCCCCACGTTACTGTAGATGAGAGTCTGTCCTTTCTGACCGTACACGCCCAACAAGCCTGCCAAGAATGGCACCAAAATATTGGCTGCCTGTGATGCAAAATCCAGCTATGCATGGAATCTGCAAGTATGCACTAGAAAAGCTACCTGGAGGAAAATCTGAGAAGAATCAGGGGATGCATGTGGTGCTGGAGATTAGTGAAGGGTTGCAAAGTCATATCATCACCTGTGACAACCTTTTGTCACTTGTTCCAAAGTAACAAGGAATGCCTTGGAGAAGAACTTCAGAAGAGAAGGCTGACCATGTTGGGATAGTCAGGAAAAATAAGGCAGAACTTCTCAGTGAAATTCAGAAGATGCAGGGCAGAGCTCAGTATTTGCTTTCATTGAGAACGTGACAGTTGTCTCATACCGCCCAAAGATAAACAAAAATGTTCTTGTATTGAGTACAATGGAAGCTGATGCATCTCTGGGCACAAGAGAGGACTAGAAGCCACAAGTGATCCTGGGTTATAAATCCACCAAAGGAGGAGTTGAAAATCTGGACAAAGTCACAGCAACATACAGCTCCAGACTCGAGCCAGGCTAGCTTGACCCACAGTAGCAGCGGCTATCATTGAAAAGCTCAAGCTCAGGTCCCCCAACCAACACCCAGTGGACAGGTGAAAAAGAAAGGGAAAACCAGGATGCCAGGTCTGTCCATCCCCAGAACACAGTAAAATAAGTACCTCTTGTGTGAAATGTAAGAATTACACCCGCAGAAAGTACATATTAAAATTCGAAAATGTGTTAGTGAAGAGGGAAAATCCCCCAAAAATAGTACTTAAAGAAAGTGTTGGAATTAAAAATGGATTGTATGTCACTTTTCTAAAGGTTCATTCAATATTACATCATTTTTTATTTGTTTCACCTGTTTTTTTACTGTTTTGCAGTCATTTACATGGTGCGGGTCAAAATGACCCGCAACATAATCAATGTAATTTTTTTCTAACATAATATGAGGGTTAATTCAAATGTCTAAAAGGATGGTGTTCATTTAGAAAAAAAACACAAATATGTATTATCAGGATATGCAGGAGCTTTTTCCTAACCCATAAACATGACGACAAGCTTATCTGTTCGAACAACCTATTATGTCTTTATTCTCTCAGTTTACAGCAGATTTAAGAAAAATCTGCGACAATATGACACAAGCCCATGTCATAGTAAATTATGTAGCTTTTCGCTGTGTTTACAAAAAAGCCTAACGTATATTATTATTTTCATTAGCACAGATGTGTGGAAGTTTTAGGGAAACTGTGTTAAGATTGTGAGCACAGTACAGCCAAAGACCTTAAATTGCATGTTTGTGCAGGGTTGTTTACCTGTGTGTGTTCATTTTCCCAGCATGAGTGTCTGGCCAGATCCTCAGATGGGCTCTGGAGGCTTTTTGCAGTTCTGCCTGCTCTGTGCCACGCTAACCATCGACTTGTCAACTATAGGCATGAGACCTGACACAGACTCATGTGGGATGATACCTTCTGCCCCACAGCAACTTTTTTCTTCTAAGTATTTAGTTTTTTTTCCCCTTCATGTTCTTTTTTAATCACAAAAGGGCAAATTAGCATTGCGCAGCACACAAGACGAGCTGACTGTTAGCAGATGTGAGAGAAATGAGGAAACGTGTTTAGATTCTATTTTAAGATCTGCTCTTGCAGTTCTGCTTATCCTAAGCAGTGTTTGGTACTAATATGTTGGGATAATGCAGCAATGACAGTTGCCTGGAGTTTTGGTGTGCTGAACCTAGAACTTGAAATTGTGTTATACACACCGATTTGTTTTTTTTTGTTGGTATTTCTAACTATTAATTTCAGTTTGAAATGGGAGGGTCCTCCTTGACACCTCAAACACATCTAGCAACATATCTAGCTAGCACTTCATTTGATTCTACCACCACAATCAGGAACTTTGCTTTTAAGCAGGATCTGTCATTTGACTCAAAGATAAATTAAGTTTGATGATATTGACAAATTCAGCAACATCATGACTCAGAGTTATGCAGAGTTATCCCTTATATATTAACAATGTCTGATGTGATTAGTTTCTCTTGTAAAACCAGCTGGAATGTTTGTTTGGGTTGTGGAAACAGACACCCTCTCTGCATTTATTATTAAGCTGAAGACATTTTATAAAGTTTATAATTGGGGATGGCAGGGGTAACTTTTTAACTTCCCATAGTTTTACTGCTGCAGGCCTAAACATCTGGTGGGGCCTCCCATGATGCACCGTCCGTCACTCTGATAACTTTGCTTTCCATGTACTTATGTTAGTATTGTTATTTCTAACTTTCCCTGTCTCTGCAGGTACCTCTGACCAGTTATTATGGTATTTGTCAGCTCTGGGTAGGCATATGGTAGCCCTCCCTGACTTTGGTTCTAACAAATGTTTTTCCTGCTTAAAGGATGAGACTTGATTTTTCTTTGCAGGCCAAGGTAATATGGAATTTCTCTTAAAAAAAAAAATGTTAATTTTTGTGTGTATTGGAATTATATAGAATTGTATATTTGACATCGAATTTATTTTTATTGTATTACAGTTGAATTAATTGTAATTGGCTTGTATCAGGTTTTGTCTTTCTATAACTTTAGATACAATTTCTTGATTGGTGCTATAGAAGACTGGATTAAATTGAACAGATTTTACGGTGTTCAGGAAAGTAGTATCGTAAACAAACATTCATTAGTGAAAATCCAAATATCGTACAAATTCTCATTCCTTTCCAACAGACATTGTGCATGTAAACATTTCCTACTTCTTTTTCACGTTTAGTCAGTGTGGTGCACTTTTGAGGGACTGGCATCATCTGTCAAAGGGCCAGTCACAATAGAGTGCGTGTGGGATGTTAATGTCTTTCTATAACACGCTTAAGGTCTGCCATACTAAAGGATGTGTCATTTAAACAGTTTTGCTTTGTGTGGATATACAAACACACCAGGCCATTTTGTTCATGAATTGTTTCAGGGTTCGGTCTAAAATATTCACATCAACACCCATAAACACAGGAGAGACGGACAAAAGGCAAAAAGAAAGAGCTGTTCTCTGTGTGTTGTGTTGGAATGGAATGTTTAGTGTATTAAAATCTTCCATGCTACACAAGAATGATTTCAGTGAAGTTTGTGTGTATGAAAACTTTCCGATCAGAAAACCTGAGGATATTCACTGTATATTTGACTTGCATTGAACTTCTTTTGATAAAGCTGAAATAAAGTTAACAAATCAAAAAGCCGACAGCATCAAGTTTCAAAGTCACATCTGCAGTGGTATGATCTAACTGATGACTCAACGCATTAGGGTGAGTCATCAATAAGATTTCAGCCTCTGCTTTCTCTGATCAATAAAGTTTTGGTCACAAAGGGAGTTTGAGGAGTTTACGGGAGACACAAATCAATAGCATTTTGGGTAGATTTATTTGTAATGTCTTTTTGAAACGATCCTCTACAAATCTATTTTCGGAGTCTGCTAATATGCACGATAATGAATTGTTGCATTCAAATCTAGTCTTGATCTTTTTCTTCTGTCTGCAGTCGAGGTTTTCTGTGAGGAAGAAAAATCAAATGGAAATGGGACTTGAAGTCAGACCACAGGCCAGCAATGGAATTAAAAGACATATTTCGAGTTTGGTGTTTTTAAACTGTTTGTACAGACACAGGCGCACAGGTTTGTTTGGTGTGGTGTTTGGTTTGTGCTGCCAGTAAATGTCAGAAGATCTTCGTTACGAGCAGTGGCTACAATCTCTGTCACTGACAACGGGAAGTGTGTGTTTGTTTAAAGGAGAATCTCTTGACACGGTATCTGTGTTTATAATGTCTTGTCCCACTATTTCATCACTACCCCTGCAGACATAGACACCAGCACAGCTCTTGATAATCTTTCTTGTCTAATTAGAGCAAATTACATGACCCACCTTTGCTTTGCACCCACACATTACTTCCCTCTTTCTCCACTTCATCCCTGCCTGTAACAAACTCAAACTGTCTCACTGCTGGGGTCTTACTCCTGCCATCACTTCCTTAAATTTTCCATTCTAAGGTCATACTATATGACTGATGTCTGGAAGAGAAGATGGAATGATTCGAGGTCACAAAGAGGTTCAACTAATTTGCTGCAGATGAAAATGTGCACATATGGGCGTTTGTGTGCACACACTTCTGCAGAAATGCGACAATGTAGACACAATAGATACAAAAGATCCAAACAAATCTACAGGAAGTCTATAAATACACAAAATCTAAAAAAAAAAAAATGCGCACACGCAGATCAACTGGCAGTGTACTGCTCCAGACTGAAGCTCCCTCTCACATAAAATATATCCAGTCCCTGATTACTCTTCGTCTACACTCCCTGTGCATCACCTTTTCATTCCCCATATCATCTCCATCTCTCATTTAACCTCCTTTCTCCGTTTACCAGATATGAAGTTTCTGGCAATAACCAGCCACAGATGTGAGGAGTCTCAAATTTTGACGGGGCTCATGTGAGCGAGGCAGTGGGCTACTGGCTCTGTGTAGGTTCCATCTCTCAGGAGAAGCCTTGCAGTCCCAATGAAAACACCCACTGGATTCTTACGAGGAGAGTCAGTAATGAGATTGTGGTGAAGAGGGCTTTTTGTCGCTAGTTCAAACTGGTGAGGGTTATTCTGTCATCTGCTGCTTGTTATGTGTAAGGAGTGGTTTTTTGAGTGTATGTGACGGAGTAGAATACAAAGAAAAAAGGACTCTGAATATGTGCTGGTCTACACATACTGCCTATGTGACATTTTATACCATGTGTCCATCTATAAGGAAAGTAAAAAAAAATTAAGCTGATGTTCTTCATCAGTGAAATCATTAGACTCACTGCTGATTGTTTATTATTCTAGTCCTCCCAGGAAGCCACGGGAGTGTTACTCACTGAAGCAGGGAGAGAATATGGATGGAAGCTGTCTCCTCCTACATATTTACTTATTTGTTCACTTTCTGTTTGTCTGTAAAGGAACTTCTCTGTGAATTCCCACAGTGCTGCAAAACCCAACCAGAATGTGTGCTTGCAGCACTGCCAATCAGGGTGTCAGTGGGGCACTGCGGTAGTGCCGGATAAGTGCTGCATCAGTAATGCTTGAGAAAATGCTGGAAGGCCCATTTCAAGCTATCTCATGCTGTCGTCACTGGAATTGGAGATAGCACTTGGGAAATTAACTGGGTGTCTCAAGCTCATCTTTCTCCCACCGGTGAGTTCATGTCTTATCTGAGGAAGAGGAACATTTTTTTGTAAAGTAGCATAAACAACCCTCCTGCCCCACCACCGTCAATACACACACACACAGGCAGCAGCAGTGTGTCTGTGTGTTGTTCCCTGTGGACAACCGAGCTTCCCTTGATGACAGGTGACTGTCACTAGCTGGCTCTATTAGCACGTTGTGTTGATAAGTGAGCTTAGAGAAACGTTGGAAGGCTCGAGGGCACGAGTGATTGAGGCTGTCATTTGTTTGACAATGTTTCATTTGAAAAATGTTTGTCATTTTACAGTAAAGTGAATTTGTATCCACATTCAATATGCATCAAAGTCTCCTGTATCTGATTGATGATGAACCACGGTCACACATTTTAATTAAGTATTCAATATTGCTCAAAAGTGCTCATATTCCTTACAAAACTCCTCTTTTAAATGTAATTAGTTACATTTGTTAATCTGGAGTTGTTTTCTTAAAGAGTAAATTAGTCAGAGGATTGTTGATGTTAAGAGATTTGGTACGTGATCTCAGCACACCCCTCAGTGCTGATGTGGAGTTCAACAACACAAATAGACCCAACTTTATAGCACATGGCACACAAAGAAATTAGGCTTTCTTAGCCATCCCTCGTTTAAAATTATAGATGAACTTCTGGTAAAACTGCATCATCGTGTGTGTGCATGCGCGTAAATGTGTGCGACAATCAACAGTAAAAGAAAAAGCGATGCTGGAAATTTACACACGCGCCCAAACAGTGACACAAGGAGGGGAGGAAGGGAGGAGGGAGGAGGGGGGAGGGAGGGAGGCGACGAAGTACTTAGAGAGGAGACGCATCAGTGGTGGAGGCAACATCTCCTGGTTCCAGTCTGGCAGCACAGCGGGCAGCGCTTCCATTTGTCTCCTCGCTTGTCTTATTGTGACGAGGCGATGTGGATTTACAAGCTCATCCTCGGACTCTGTGTCGTTTCTTGCTCCGGTAAGTTTGTGAGAAACTAGTTCTGCTCGGATTGTTTCACAGCGTCTGTCATTACAAATGCGTTAGTGTCTGCGCGTGTTGTTGCGCGCCCCGTAAACGGCCTGTCAGACATGAGTTAATTCTTCTTTTATCGGTTTATGTTGTTTTTTTAAGTTTGTCAGAGTGTAATTCCCTACAGTGTTACGCTCCGTTGTTTATGATTTTCTTTACTCCTCTTGCAAGTGTATTTTCTATAGCCTATGGCTGTTTAGAAGTCCAACAGGCTGGATGGAGTATTTCATTGTAAGAACCTTTACTGACTTAAATCTCCAACAGCTTAGTTATTGTACATCGATAACACTGTGAGTAGGACATTCTCAGCTCTTATTGTATCATCACTGGAGTGCACTATACAAGACTTCAAACATGGATAACCTACCTGACCATAATGGATGTCATGATAAAGTGCCATGATAAATTGTTTGGGCATCCTGTTGCTCTGATAGAGAATTGTGAAGGAAAATTGTAGAAGGAAAGTGGAAAAGCTATGCCAAATAAGAGAAAAATTAATGTCATACTACAACAAAATCGTAATTAAAATGAAAATGAAAAAAATAGTACATTTAACTAACCAAAGTGCACATAGACACCTGCAAACTGTTGGAAGACAGGCTGCCTTCAATGGTAAAGACGCAGAGATACACAGATCACAGTCAGAGTCGAATCAGACTGACTCACACTTTGAAATACTGTGGTCTAATGTTTGTACTAGCACATTTTCCACATTTCCTCCCGGGGTCAGCTGTATCAGGCAGTATCTTCAACAACAGTATGAATGTTTTCAAAAGTCAAATATTAATTAGAACTGCACGTTAACATGAGCTGAAATGGTAGAGTATCATAAAGGCTGCATTTTCTTTCTCAGTCTTAAATATGGAGATAACTGTGAGTTGAGTTTCTAAAATGTCCAATTAATGTTTCTGAAATGGATTTTGTTGTGCGTCAGAGGGCAAAAGAAATGCACTGCAGGACTACCAGAAGTCTGATGGCATCCAGCTGGTTATGTTGTCTTCTGATGCCACCCACCTGACCAAAACTAAGAAGATGAGCTTATCCAGGTGTGCCAAGGCCTGCAGCCGCAACAGAAAAATACCCTTCACCTGCAGGTTTGTATACTTTGATGGCAAGACAAGTTGTTCAGGTAATGGATTGATAAGCTGTCATTTTTTATTTATATCTTTACTTCTGGAATTTCATGGCATACTGTCCCAGAATGTTGGCCCATTTCTGAAACCTGTCAAGTCTGAAGGGGGTTTATGCTCTCTATTTTTAGATTTTTTTAAAACAAATCCTAATGATGACAATTACTTTTCTAATAATAGTTTGATTATTTACTGTAACACCTGTTAATTGACCGTGGTCACATTGACGTTAAAGAAATCAAAGACGGTTAATGATCATTATTGCCTTTCTTGCCTTTTTCTCTGCCCCCTTTCCTTTCCTAGAGCGTTCCTCTACGATCATAACAACAGGAAATGCCAGTGGCTTTCATTCGACAATAACTCACCAGGAGCTCAAAGCCATCAGAACGTCAACTACCAGCTGTATCAGAAGAAAGGTGCCTTCTGATGTTCCTCCTTTCCTCACTGCTGGCTGACACTAAACTAGTGTCTTTAATGTCATCATTTTCATCAATTTGGACATAAAATGTTTTCACAGCAAGTCCACTTTTGGGTTGCACTTTGTATTGCGTAAGGATATGGCTGGAATACTTGATTACTTATTTAGAGACAGATTGGATTGTTGTAATGATGGCAACCCTCAAGGGAAAGACAAGGAAGGGCAAGGACGATTGTCGTGTTTATTGTGCTACAGCACGTTATGGCTAATTTTCTGTCATTATGCGGTGTTTGCATAAACACTGGAAATGTCTGCCCCATCTCAGTCTGACTGACCACAAGAGTGAGCATGTAAGCTAAGTAACAGTTTTCACTGAATACAGATACTTGTGATGACAACAACAGATTTCATTTCTGGCTGTGTCACATCCTTGTTAAGCTCAGCATTCTTACTCCCCATCTCTGTTTTCTTCATCATCTGCTTTAGCTTTGTGTAAAACCACTGTGATCAGGTTGTTAACTCATCGCACTTCTTGACATTCTATTGCTGTCGTTGCACTTCAATGCCTCTATAGTTCTTTTTTACTATCTTATTTGTTTTCCAGATTACGTGAGAGAGTGCATTGTTGGGACAGGTCAGAGTTACAGGGGCCAAACGTCCGAGACAGTGAGTGGCATCCGCTGCCAGGACTGGGCCTCTAATATTCCCCATGAACACAAGTAAGAATTTGATGTACTTTTCACCTCAACGTCAAACAGCATAGTGTTATAAGCTGCTGTTAATGTTAGTGTTGGCCTGTGAGAGATCCAATTAGTTGGTAGCTGGAGGCTAGTCTGTATGTGTGTGTATGAGTATGATGTATTAAGGGTTGATTAGGCTCCTGAGAGCAGTCATTCATCTGAACTGACCTCATTGTAACGTTTTTAAGAGTCACACATCATTTCCTGCAATGGCCACTCTGTTTTTCTAGATGTGAGTGTGTGTGTGGGCATATGTGTGTGGTTTACTGGAATTAGGCTCATATCTTATAGGTGGCTTTGGTAAAATCCAGGGCACATACCCCATTCAACTTCTCAGATTATTTTTAAATAGGAGTTTTAGATAAAGATTAAGAAAGATATACCAGGAAAACCAGGAAAAAGAAAAAGAAAATTCCAGGATGCAATAAAAGCTATCCTTTTAAACAACTCATATAATATTTCTACAAATGGTAAAGCTGAGGTGGATTTACCATGAAAATGCCGTTATTACCGCAGTCTTATCATAAAAGTCAAGCTGCATCTTTTTTTTTGTTGCATTTCTTTCTATTGGGTTGTCTTATAGTTTTTATTTTTCATTTTCCTGGTTTGTAAATAATTTGACTTTGCTTCAATAACTGTTTTACATTATTTCTATATGAATGAGGTAATCCGTTTTCATTATCTAGGGAAAACAAAATTCCATTGTACTGTTAATGTTTTAAAGAAGAAAGAAATTAAAGAAACAACAACGAAAAAGTATTCAATTACTTTTGAAGGCTTTGTTTTGAGTGAATACTGCAGGAAAATCAAAGCCGGCAGTTTATATTTGTACCTCCAGTGAACCTGCTTTATCAGAGACATTATTGCCTCTACAAATCATGTAATTAAATCCAGGCACTTAGTATGTTTTCTTCCCCAGTCAGTTTAAAGTCATTGGAAATTCTGACACAAAAACACATAAAAGAGCTAATTGCATTTTTTTATCAGTTAAAGGTCGCTCTTGTTTTGATTTGTTACAAATACTTTCTCATTTTCCTACATGTCATGACGGATTCCTGAAAGACAAACTTTTCCTGACTTTGTTCTGTCTCCATCACGGAAAAATACAGGCTTGACTCAAAAATTACATTCTCCGTGTCCATCAACCCAACTGGTGACCACCGTCATGTGCTCGCCTGATGTACAAGATATGAGTCATTTGTCAGTGTGTTTATACAACATTCAGAACAGGCCTCTTGGGAAACCTTGTATTAATGTTTTTTGTCTCATCAAAAACATTGTGACATTGATGACTCAGTCCATAAACATAGCTGGTTGCTTGTGCAGTTGTAAATTTTCTCTGGTTTTGTTTATGGGGAGTTTTCAGTTAGGCAACATCTTTCTTGCAAATGTTTTTTTCTGGCACAAATTAGGAAAACACGACATAATCTACTGGAAAGGCTTCAGTGATGGTTAAAAGCACGGAGCATTTTTGGTTGCTGGTTTCAGAACACGTGTTTGTTAAATTGCTCCTTTGCTTCCAACAGATTCTCATCTAAGAGGTTTAGGAAGTACGACCTCAGAAAAAACTACTGCCGCAACCCAGACAACTCCACTGTTGGTCCGTGGTGCTTTACCACCGACCCCAGGCCACACCTCAGGTACCAGGAGTGTGGTGTCCCGCAGTGTTCACAGGGTAAGTTACAAGTACACACAAAATATTTGTGCATGTGAACATTCATCTTGAAATAATACCCATTCCGTGTTGTAAATTGTTTAACCAATTTGAGCATGTCAGTCTGAAATGAGCTGAAGCAAATTAGGCAATCATATACTTGGACTAGGTTTTGTTCGCTGTAACTGCGGTCCACTGCACATCTGTGCATGTATGTGTGGGTGCACCATTTTTTTTTAGTGGCTGAAGCCAGCTGCAGTTGCTTCCAGGTGTGTGGTTCAGTTTTTGTTGTCCTATTTCGTTCCATCACGCTCAAATTCGTCTAAATTGTTTGAACCTCCAGAGGGAGATTTATGAGTGTTAGAGAATATTAATGCCTCTGCGTATCTCGTCTACGTACATTTCCAGCCATTATGCCCCTCCTTGTGGCAAACACATGGCTGTGATGAAAAGAAATCTCTCTAAGTGTGGCCCTGCCTCTATGTTATTTCACACAATGTAACTGTCAGGAAACACAGTCTTCCTGAAGGAGGGGATGATAGTGACCTATGTTATCTAATCCTTGGGGACTCATGCTATTAGAGGTGTTGTTTTCCAAGCTTGCATGACACAGGATCACTCTCATGACAAACCAGGTTGTGGTTTAATAAGACAAAACGGGAAAGCCTCTTGTTCTCCCACTCACATATGGTGTCCCACTGGGCTATCGTGCTTTGTTCAACAGAGATAATGACATTTTATTTTCATTGAGAGGAAAATGACCAGGGGGATTTAAAAAAAAAAAAAAAAAACGAGCTCCTCTAATAGGAAACATACACACAAGCATGGCGTGTGAAAGTAAAAACTACACATGTAGCCAGTTGTCTTAAATGTGTTGTGTAATGACAGAGGTGGACTTGAAAACATCTGTTTTTAATCAGCTTCCTCTTTGTTGTTTACACAAGACAGTGTGCGCTGCTCACCACGCAGAAAACAGTGCCCTCTGTTCAAAGACTATGACCCTCCTTCATCTGACACACGGTTTGAGCATAAATACATGAACTAAATGAACATTAAATGACAATAACAAAACTCTGGTAGGAAATCTACTACGAGGCACTTATTACGTGTAATGTGGGCTTCACTGATTAAAATTGTTGCATCAAAGAAAGAGATTTCAAACCTGTTTGTTAACTTGTTCTGCTCTGTGTGGAGTTTGCATGTACTTTCTGTACCAGCTTAAGCTTTTCTCCAGCTCACATGCATCATTTTGTTTTACACATGATACATTTTAGTTATGTGTTGTGTTTGTGTTTCATTGCTGCACAGTTGAGTGTATGAACTGTAATGGGGAAGATTACAGAGGACCCATGGACCACACAGATAGCAGAAAAGAATGCCAGCGATGGGACTTACAGGAACCACACAAACACCTGTTCGATCCAAAGAGGTGACCTTACCACGTACACATGCACTGTCAAATGAAATGATTTTGATTGCACCAGTGAAACAGTTTGTTTTAACAGGGACATACGGGGAAAACCCCTTATTATACACCTTATACCCCTTATAAATTGCCCTTAAATGAGCTTAATTTGCGTCTGTATTGTGACATTGGCTCTTAGTGTTCTAATATAGTTGGGTGGCAGGTGGTCTAGATTAGCGGGGACTCGTTAACACATCCTTAATCATCCCACCGTTTGTGTAAACCAGGTCCCAGACTGCTCACAGCACTAATGTAATGGGAGGATTCCACAGCCTGATGCTGTATGTCTTCAGGCTGGAGGCCTGAGGGGGAAATGGGACTTTGGGATGACTTACTGTTGAACACCTGTAGTTGTGAAACTTATTTTCCTCCTCAGTCCCATGAGGAAATTTGCAGATTGAGTCAATGCACCATTACGAATATGAATGTTTCATCTGCTTGCAACAGTGAACTATTTCTCCATTATTACACTGCTCAGAGTTCATATGGAAGATGTTTTCTTCTTTTGCTGTTTTGCATGCTTTCGTGAAGGTTTTTATTTACATGAAAAAGTAGCTGTTCTGCATGTTTTCCATTAGCTATCCTGACAGAGGCTTAAATGACAACTATTGCCGGAACCCCAACGGACGCCACAGACCCTGGTGCTTTACCATGGATCCAAACACTCCCTGGGAGTACTGCAGCATCAAAGTCTGTGGTAAGGATGTATGCATTTTTGCTCGTGTGGTTTAACACGCTATCGTTTGTCAAGAGCGTCAAATGAAAATCTATTTATGATGGGGAGCGGGTATGTTTGTGTTCTGTTCAAACCCATGGAGTATGACTGCCTGCACCATAATTTACGTCTGTATTTTTCCTTCATTTACCTCCACTTCCTTGTATTGGTTGTTAGTTTGGTGCATACACATGTAAACAGATGTAGAGTTCCCTTCTTGGGTTGGGCTCTCTGTTATGTCTTCTCTAATAGCCAGAATGTTTATTTTTCTCTGCGCCAGTCGCCTGCTGTTTATTGTTCTATGCCAGCTCTTAAGTGGAGTAGTCAAACTATTCAAAACTCAGTTACTGGTCTACATTAACCTTCTGTAGCACATATAGACTCAACACTAGGGTCATACACACTACAAGCAGATCACTTCCATCACACATCTTATGTTTATTGTGAGTTGTGTCAGTGAAGTGGAAGAGCTGATGTCACAGCTTGTTTTGTGCTTTGTTGGTCTTTATACTTGCAACCAGCAGATTCTCTATTTATATATATTTGCAATCAGTGACTGCCACTAAAACATGAAAGAACAGAAAACATAGGACTGGTGTTATTGTTGGATTTAGTTTCTTTTCCCCAATTCTGCGACTGGCTTGGTTGTCTGCAACAATCATCAACTGACCTGGCACAATGTTTACTAGATGGCTCTTGTCCATTTGGGCCCAGTGTTTCAGTGTTCTGCTCTGTTTTCTCTCCTCTAAAAATTGTCCTCCACTTTGTGCTCTGTAGCCTTCCCTCAATTTTTCTTTGATATGGAGTTTCTTGGTAACTGACCAAGTTTACGACCCAGTTAGTTGTAATGAAAACAAGGCAGGGAGGACAAAGCAGCAGACAGAAACAGGGACGTGTTACTTTGACAAAACTCCCTTTGTTTATGATTGAACTAGCACATATCCATTTTTAGACATCTTATACAGCCTGAAAAAGGTTGTTTTAGATACTTTTAGATCCAAAGTTTTCAACTTTTTTTTTGTGATCAAACTGGCAACGTTCCATGAGCTGTCTGTAATGAGCTGCCCTTCTGTGATAAAAAAAGTAGAGCAGATAAGATTATTTTTCCTGTCCAACTCTTTGTTTTTTAGCATTATCATACCTAACCCATAGAGGGTGCTATTCTGTTAAAACCAGATGACGATAACGTTGCTTTTTCGTCATTCATCAGTCAGTGACACTACCATACAGATTTCTATGGTGCTTAAATCCTAAGTATGGATCCTAACATTAATGTGAGTACATAAGTGTCTCATATTGTCTTATATTAAGACAAGATCCTAGAGTGATGACACAGAGTAAATCGCGAGCCAAATGGTTGGGCTGCAGCCAGAGCAGCTTGTCCCTTACCGCCTAAACCATTTGGTGTTGACAGCTCAGAGTTAACATTCTGTTTTACTGTGACTAAGGAACTGTGGGTTAAATTAAGTCAAAAGGCAAAAGTTTTATTCTCTGAAACTACTTTTTGAAGGATGAAGAACTTTAATGATGGTGCTTTAGCGCCGAGCAGTGATGTGTAATAAAGTGGGATAGATTCCCCACTGCACGCATTAACATTCAAAATCAGAAAAACCCTGCAAACTACAAAATTATTTGTTTTGTGTGCAATTTGCGGCCAGAGGCAATCAGAAGATCAAGCCTTTGTTGTCAGTTTTCCAAAGATTACAATCAGAGGAAATTGAGACTGTCACACACTGGTTTGTGTGATTTACTTGATCTTACAGGCTCTGCAACAGAAATGCAAATCATAGCGTGCTAGAGAGGGTTTTACTCCTGTGAAAAATTATAGAAATCAAACACTCATATAAAGTATTTTGTAATGGCATTCAATGTGTTTCAAGACTATATCTATATCTATCATCAATTTAATCATCTATTCCAACTTACATCCAAACAAATTAAAACAAAATTACTTTATGGAGTTTGGAGACTTGACTACAGTTGATAAAACTTAAACAGTATTTTTTCCCTTTATATTTATTCTTGGTTTGAGTAGATTAAAGCAAGTGAATCATGAAACCATTTGCTATGGCCTTCCTGTATCATAATCAGTGTTGGGTAAGTTACTTTAAAAATGTAATCCGTTACAGTTACAAGTTACCTTGTTTAAAATGTAATTGTAGTGTAACTTTTTCGATTACTTTTAAAAAGTAATGTAACTAATTACTTTTGATTACTTTTTGATTACTTTAAGGTTTTAATGAGTATTAACCCATGATTCATTTTAGCGTTTTATTATTAGCTATTGGCCGCAGCTAGCACTTCAAGGCTAACGTCTTGTTAATGATCATAAACAACGTAAATAAATACATAAATAAATCAGAGACAAGTCAGTCGTATCCGGATACAACATTTTAGTATCTATACTTTTTTAAGTATCGATACTTTTGACAACCCTAGTCTGAAATGTAGGACATGTCCGGGAAAAAGAGGACGTCTGGTCACCCTACAGTTGGCTAGGCTAGGCTAGGCTAGGTCATAGACATCGATAAACGTTTGTCATGCATCAACACCAAACAGTCAAATATTAGTAAATCAATACGCTTCGTCTATCAGTGAGTTGCATATTTCGCAAAGGTTTTTCTTTATATTAAAAAAAAAATGTAACTAAATTTGTAATTCTTAATATTTTCGGAAGTAACTGTAACTCAATTACATATTTTGTCATTGTAACTGTAACGAATTACAGTTACTCTTTTTTTGTAATTAAATTACGTAACGTCGTTACATGTAATCCGTTACTCCCCAACACTGATCATAATCTATGATATGTATCTGTAATCTTTTCGGAGGTTTGTAATAAAGCCTTTATACAATACTCAGAGACCTTTAATCTGGGGTTTGGGTTTCACCAATGGATGTGCATCAACAAACTTCTGGATTGACTTTATTTGAGACAACCATGTCTGCCTTACAGTCTCTGCATTTATTTTTCATTCCTTCATGATTCAGCCCTGATGCTAAATTATCTCGAGCCTCAATTTATGTTCTTCCGTAAAAAAGATAATCATACTTTTTTTGCAATAATATCATTAGTACTTTTTCATTTGGTGGACTTTTCTCTTGCAAATTCTGAATACCTGAAGCAGGAAAAAGACAAAGAACAGGTCTGCATGAATGACCAACTGGTGAAAACTAATTTACCTGGATACTTTAAATATCAGGAGCTGGGATTATATATTTTTATTTAGCTGTACAATCCTGATGTTTAATCACAATAAAACAATTTGAACAGAGAAACATTACATGTTTTGACTTCCAAACATGATGTTCTCCCACAGAAACGCCTCCTAAAAGTAATGTGATAGAAACAACGCAGTGTTACCAGGGCAGAGGCGAGGGTTATAGGGGTACGGTGGACATGACGAAGGCCGGCCTAACCTGCCAACGATGGGATTCTCAGTATCCCCACAACCACACATTTATACCTGAAGCCTACCCATGCAAGTGAGTCTTACACTGACAAAAGAAAACTCTTCACTTACCCTCTAGTGTGCACTAACATCTGAGCATATAACAAAATGAGTTTCTCTACATTCTAGGGACCTAAGCGAGAACTACTGTCGGAATCCAGATGGTCAGGAATTCCCCTGGTGCTTCACTACAGACCCAAGGGTCCGCAAAATGTTCTGCACCAATATCCCTCAGTGTGGCAGCCAAACCATTCCTGTCAACGGTGAGGGACCCAAAAGTTTAATATGAAACCGACAGTGACACTGGAAACAGTGTCATTGATTTTATCTTCATACTGAGAAAACAAATATTTGGTATTTTTGTATTTTGTGAACTGGCAAGTTCCTATAACCCATAACCTCACACATTGGTTTGCAACTATGTTTTTTTCATCCCAATGGAATACTGTAGCCCTACAGGACTGTGGGAAGAACTGGCAACCACATCTCAGATAAATAAAACCTGACAGCAGTTAAGGATGGCCTAGTCTCAGTGGACAGTAAAAGACGAGGATGAAGGATTAGTGTTGGTTCAGAGTCTTTCTAGGGTAGCAAAAGATTTTACATGGAAAGATGTAAATCCATGGCTGATTATACAAATTCAAATTTCCCAGGGGGATATCAGGAATATTTCTTAGAGATTGTGTGCCCTCGCATTGGGATTATAAACTCACTGCATTTGCTTTCTGGTCTCTCCTTGGGGTTGACCTCATTCCCATACAGAAAATAAACACAAGATGACAGACAGCTTCAATAACTTATTTATGACATATGTTCTTGTAAGGCATCCATCTTGATTTCTCATTTTGTGTTTTTGTGTTCGCATGTTGTAGATCCCATCACAATTATGATAACTCAGTATTAGATGATTGCTTTTTTCATCCATATACAGTATATATACAGAAGGAGTCAAATGATTAGGATTTTTGCTTTTCAACATTTTTTCCATTACTCATAATTCATTACCACCAGAAATAAAAGTTTTGAGACTGTTCTAAATTTGTGTAATACTTTTTTCACAAAGCATATTATGTAATAATTATTAATTATATAATAACATTATGATGAACAACACTTAAAAAGCATCTAATGAATTGATATTCATGTACTATGTTAATCTTTAACTAACATGGCCGTGCAGAATGTTTTGCATCTTTCTTGTATATAGAGTGAATGTCTTGATTGCCTGTTTGATTGAATGTCCTCTTGTGTCTAAATCCAGATTGCTATGACGGCTTTGGAGAGAATTACCAAGGAGAGCAGTCGAGGACTAGATCAAACCTGCCCTGTGCTCCCTGGAGAGACCACAGCAACAGGTCGGCCCACTGGACCCAGGCTCCTTCCTAGCCAAATAACTTTTCCAAACTGTCTGATGTAGAAAACAGACCAGCATTTTTGATAAATTGCAGACATGGGCCTCTGTCTAAATCAGAGCTGAAGATATCACACTGCTCCACAACATGTGAACCATCTCAGCTGAAAAATAATGTCGAAGATTTTAACAGCTCCGTTCAATCCAATCAGAAATTGCATATCCAACAGAAAAAATATGATTTTTATAACTTTTAACAGGACAGAGAAATGCTTGTGATACATTTAAGTCTAAAACAGCCCCAGTGGGCAGGCAAATGGGTCTGTGTTTCCAAAGGCCATGCGTGTAAACCTGAGACACAAATGTAATGCATGAAATTACCTATTTCTACTTTTAGTTAACTCGTGTTGTTTCTTGTGGATCATGTTGAGCATCTTGGTTCTGGGATGAGAAAACTGCTCCTGTGGGTACCATGACTAGTTTTTCCACCTAATGGCCAGCAAAGTGTTTCCCTGAAGATGACCTAACTCAGCAAGAATGGCTAACAGTAATAACATGGTTGGGGGATATACACTCCAGGCCTTACCTCTGAACTCAAACCCCTCCTTTGTAGGAACATCAAAGCCACTCTGCTCCACTGCTTGGCTCCTACCCATGGGTCAAAAGTCAGGGTTATGTAGCTTCAGTGAGTCAGTGGGAGCTGGCTGTGCAGGATATATAGCACACATAAACAACAATATCTACCTCTGGATCACTGTGATTTGAAACCCAGGTCTTAAGTCTCGTCTTTCATAATATGAATCGTATTTGTTGGTAAAAGTTTGTCAGAGAAAGGTTTTAATTTGAACAACCTTATAAAAATGCACTGCTTAACATGTGAGGGTATGCATGCTTATTCTGTATTAGTAAGTAATTTAATTGTAAATCACCCCCTTATCTTATCTTGAGGGAGATAATCTGCACAGCTGTGTGGTTTGAGTATTCAGATCTTATCTGGGCAAATACATTCAGCTCATAATTATTGTAATAAATCATGCAAATCTTTACCTTTACCAAGAGCCAAAGTATCTGTAATAAATGTGGGAAATTCCTTGTTTTGAACACCTTCTTTGGGACTTAATGAATGCTGATAAAAAATGTGTTTGTTTTTTTTTGTTTTTTTGTTTTTGTGCTTCTACATTTATCCAGTGGTGAGAGGGGCATGCTGACGGCCAGTCTGGAGGGAAACTACTGCAGGAATCCGGATAAAGACAAACACGGCCCCTGGTGTTTTGCTAATAATTCTGCAATTCGCTGGGACTACTGCAACATATCACCTTGTAAGTGAACGAGTATGTATATGTGCAAATCCTTCACAGATTAGAGACTTAGAGAAATGCAAAGAAAACTGAGATATAAAATCATCAGCACATTTTCGCCTGCTCTCTAAATAGTTTTCAGCCTCACTGGCATACAGACTGAAAGACACACTACCTGTTATCGACATTAAAAAATGAGCTATAATATGTAGGGGAACATTTGGAGGTGCATATTCAGAAAAAATAATGAATTGTCACACACAAAAAGTTCATAGAAAGTTGATAGAAACTGTAGGCTCACTTCTTAATATTGATTTTCACGCTAGAAAGTACGTTTCTGATGTACTATATATTCCATATACATATAAATGTATGTACAACTGTACGCCAGAGTAATTGTTGGTTAACTGTAAATAACAATCATTATCAATTAGAATAATTATTAATGAGTCATCAGAATTTGAGGTTCTCCCTGGAACGATCAGCAGCCTTTCACAGGACTATCAGGAGCCGTATACACACATACACTGGAGTAATGACTTGTTTTCAAAATGTCAGTGAGTGGTGCCATGTGAAAATGCAAATGTCCACAACATTGGCTGCAGATTTTTTTGCAAAGATGCCCCCCTCATTACTTCCCATTCCCTGAGAAAAATACCCAGAAATAGTTGATAAGATCATGAATAAACTTGTCAGTATTTGTCAGTTTCTACTCCCTTGTATGCTGCTCTCCATGAATGAGGAAATGTACATACACATATCATATAGCAAAATCTGATTCTCCATTTGTCTTGTTTGTTTTTTATTCCTGTCTGCAGGTGATTCTTCTAAGAACACCATACCAATGGGTGAGTGAGTCTCTCTTAGCAACTAGCTAAGCTGCTGATTTCCATTTCATATCTTTGAAGAATGGTGGAGTTTAGTTTGTTGTTTATTTTGACAGGCATAGGGTGAGGCCTATGGTTAGGCATTCAGTAGTATTGGTTTGGAATAGAAAGTGGAACAAAACATGTTTTGTCAATTAAAGGTCATCATGCAGACACAAATACACGTATGTGGTCATTTGTGTGTTTGTGTTTCATTGGGTGATTTGCTCTGTGAATAATAGTTTAACAACAGAGGATGAATCCCCTGCTCTTGACACATAAAGTTCAAATTATGCCCATGTGTTCAGTAACCTGGAAATAATTACCCTAATTATCACACCCATCAGCATAACGCTTATATTTTATAAATAATGATGATTATGGTGGATCATTAAGCAGCCAAAGTGCCTCTTGTATTGTGACCGTGTAAACAATATTTCAACGTTAACAAAGCATGTCTGTACCTGTGAATGCATAATATGGCTTGAAGTAAATTTTTTCTACTTAATGAAATGAAACAAATGAAAATATATTGCATTTGTATCTGTGTATGTTTTAACTTTTCTAGTCGAGCCATCATCTGTGGGATGTTTTGTCCATAAAAGCACCAGGATTGTGGGAGGGGGTCATGTTGGAATATCAGATGGCAGCTGGATGGTCAGCATACAGAAAGGGTACATCGCCTATGTTCTACACATTGTCCTCACAACACTGAAGATAAACAAGATATTATTCTGCCCAGATGGAATTTTGCTTTAAAATACCTTCTACTTGACTTATGTCAAGATAGAAATTAGTTAGACCTTTTTTCCTGAAGGGGGTAATGGTTTAACAATAAAGAACAATGTATTATTTTCTTGACATAAATTATATTGTTCTTCCTGCTGCATTAGTGATTATATTTAGTGTTATTTTATCGTTATTGTTGTTAAGGTTACAATAGCTACTGTTGCAGTCTGCATCTATATGTTCCCTAAATCTACTACAGATGATATGACATACTTTTCTCTCATTTAAGTACTTCCTTTTCCATCTGTCTGCATTCTGTTTTAAGCAGATCCATTCACTGGTGTGGTGGTTCACTGATACGAGAGGAGTGGGTACTTACTGACAGACAGTGCTTCTCCTCCTGGTAATTTCAATGATTGTTGTCTCTTATCAGTTATTTTTTTGCTTAGACCTTGAACAGTTAGTTCAAATGTTTCCATCCAGATGCATTTCTTTGATTCTATGTGAAATAATTTGGACTTTTGTGATTGCTTAGCGTTCCAGATCTCAGTGAGTATAGGGTGTGGCTGGGAGTCACAGACATTCGAGAAGGTCCTCCTGACTGGTCCAAGGGACAAGAAGTCAGCATAGCTAATGTGGTATGCGGGCCTGATGGCTCCAGTTTAGCCCTGCTGCGGCTGTCAAAGTGAGTGTCTGGGGAAGGATTCCCACAGACATATTCATACACCTTTCTGCCTATGTGATGTGGATGATTGTGTGTAATTGGTCTTGTCATTGAATATGTCCAGACCTGCACTTCCTGCTGACAACGTCCACACAATTCAGCTGCCTTTGGCTGGATGCTCCATCCCAGAGGGAACAATATGTAAAATGTATGGATGGGGAGAAACTAAAGGTACCAATTTTCTGCACCGTACACTGACTACAGCCATTGTGTACCTACTCGCATGTTTAGAGCTTGCAGTATTTCAACTTGCATATTCCTTTTCTTATAGAGCACTTCTGTGGGATTCTGTCATCTGTGTCTTAATGATATATTGTGGGAAGGAAAAAGGATATTATATAAAAGTCCTGACTTTAGTAACAGCACACTGCAAAACTTTATACACCCACCTTGGGTCATAGGTGGTAGGGTTTTTTTATTTAAACGTAGAATTTAATAATAGAAGGGACTTTTAATGAAAGCAGAAATATTAATATCTGCTAGCCATTTTTTTACATAGTTAAGCAATAGACTGTATGTCTATTATATGTTTTCTATTACAGAATCAAATGATTCATGTTTCACAACACAAATAATAATATGCAACTTTCAATTGATTCAGGCACTGGTCAGGATGACATACTAAAAGCTGTGGACTTGCCCATTGTGAGTAATGCCAGGTGTAGAGAGTTGCACCGAGGGAACCTCCACATCACCAACACCAAGATCTGTGCAGGAGGGAAGAGGAATGAGGGAGTGTGTGAGGTATGCTGTAATAAATTATTACTAGCCTTATTTTCTCAGTGAGCCATTCAATCATTTGACTATGAGGCCAAATGTGTGCAACAATATCAGCTGCCTTCAGTCTATGTTGATAAGTTTAAACTTAACGAAAATCTTTGATTAAACAGAGTTTCCAAAGCCCAGTTTGATCATAATCTCAAGCAAATGTCATTTAAATCCACGGGTTTAGTATTCAGTCTGTTGTAAACAGAGCAACTGGGAACTGTTGAGCTAAATTTCATCGTGGTGTTTTTAACTTTGGAAGCTATCCACCCATGATTCTTTTGTATTTATTAAAATTCTTTGTGCGTACATTCATCACTGTCAAATGTCAAACATTAATACCAGCCACTTCTTAACCACTGGTGTAGAAAAAACATGCTCTGTGTTTTTCCTTTTGCAGAGGGATTATGGCGGCCCTCTTGTGTGTCAGGATGGTGACATAAGAGTTATTGTTGGCGTAAGTGTCCATGGCAGAGGCTGTGCTCGGGCCAACCAGCCTGCCATCTTCATTAATGTGCCCTTCTACGCACAATGGATCTACAAGGTCTTCAGACACTACCCTAACCCTGATGCTGTGTAGACTCTAAAACAAAGATAAATCACAATGGGGGGATAAATCAAAAGTCCAGCCTGTCTCCTTCAACTCCAACATGGCAGTCAGGACACCTTTTTTTATAGGTTTGTACACCTCTGTTGTCCGTAAAATATAATTTGAGGATCCGTGTATGCTAAGTTGGATGATAACTGATCATTAGAAGATCATGGAAAACCTTTTATCAGGATTCTACTGTAAGAGTCACTGATGGTGATTATGAAGAAAAATGTGTAACTGTGTTCATATTTGTTGAGAATAATTGGATGATATCTGATCTACAAAATGTGAAACAGTTTATTTATTTGTTTATTTGTTTATAACGGGACACAAGAAAGTACATAAAGAAATGTAATGTCAAGGCATTTTGTATGACTTTTGAGTATTTCCAAAATTTGGCAAGCAAATATTTGTTCAAAATGATTGTGGAGCACAATGGCATCTATGGATGGATGGCTCCCATTCATCCATAGATGTTTAACAGTCATTTTAACATCGAAACATCACTTGTTTCAGATGGTTTGGAAGGATTTTAGCATTGAAAACAATGCCATGAATGTTGGTAAAATAGGATGGCACAATAGTAACATCATCAATTCCCCCCTCAAATTTCCTCTTATGCACTGTGGCTGTTTTGTATTTTGCAATCAGACTGAGTTAGTAGACAATTGGAAATAAAACACTTGAGAAACAAGTGTGAAAGATGATTCTATACAGACTGAATACTAAACAAGATAAAACAGATGCTTTTTAAATTTGTTCAGAACATATAAACAAAATTAGTTAAATTAATTTCTTAATTTTCCTTGAAAATGTTTGTGAATACTTTATACCTGGCATTACTTGAATTATTTGAACACCAAAAGCAGTGGTTCAGCAGCTCTCTTTGTGGAGTACATCAGTGAGCCACTTAGCCAACTATCCAGTGGTAGGGCAACATTAAGGCCACTCTTAAAAAGCGTCAGGTCTCTTCTGGGGCTTAAATAAAGTGGTCCTTGGTGTAAATATTTTTTAATGAGTGTATTTGTGACACTCTTGATCTAATTTAGGTCTTATAGATCTATTGCAGGATTTTTTTGTGGGGAAAGCATATGAAATAAAGTATGCTTTCACAATTCAGTCTTTCAGTCAGGTTTCTGTCTTGTAAAAAAGTCAAGATCCATTTTCATTATTGCAATGTTATCACAGTATCACTGACTGTGTAAATGAGATGATTTTTGATTCTTGTGTAAATACAATGAATGTGTGGTTATCCAGCCTCCATAGTATTTGAAAAAAGGACAAAAAACTAAACCATGTGATTGATGTTACACACAACTCTTGCTATACAAAAAGTAATATTTTGAGTGTGAAATAATCGTGTGTGTGTGTGTTTAGCATTTTTTCTGCAGTTGTTACTGCATATAAAAATAAATTACCAGAGAGAGAGTGTATATGTGTGAGTGCATGCTTGAGCAGAGGGCTGAATGAGTTATCCCTGCTCCCAGACCTTGGCATACCCCCAATTCCGCCGTTCCACTCTGGATATTAATGTCACAGAGTCTGTTGCTTCAAACTATGTGAAAGGGACACTCTTTGTAACTGAATTATTTGTAATGGGCTTCACTGTGATGATTTGAATGGGCCTTAAAACAAATGAACAGTTTTTTTTAACAGTGTAAATTATTGAGATAGCTTTATATTATAATCCGATTTTTTCTGTGTTTTTTTTCTTCTGAGTTTCTTCTGTGTGTGTGGTGTGTGCGTCAGTGTATACCAACTGAACGATGCTACAAGCTGCTATATTCTACAGGTTGTACAGTATTGTACAGTATTTTTCATTAAAGTAACCTTATCCAGTATTCTTAATAATAAACCAATTCTTTTAAATATTCGACCATGTGTCTTTTGGTATTAAATGTTATGTTTTGCTTCATGATTTGTAAGTAGTGGTTTAAATTTCAAATTCTTTGAATGGCATTTTTCTGAAAGGAACTATATGTAAGCTCAACTGGTTCTGTCAAAAGTAATATTTGTGCCTAAATAATATGATGGTACTTTGTATTCTTGCCAGGAGATGGCATCATAGCAGCACAGAGTCTAAAAGGATATGATTTTGATCTAGCGTATCTGTCTACCTCTTTCTCTCCCTCTAGCACACGCGCACACACACACATCCTCTCAATAACTACAAAGTGAGGGCTGGTACACACATTCTCCTGACCTTCCTTTCTTTCTGACCTCGATCCCCTGACCTACTGTTCCTAAGACAGCTGTGTTACCACTTCACCATCAGGTTACACAAGCTAACATGTGTATACAATCTATATTTACTTATCCATACCTGTATACTTACTTACTTCCTGCATGCTTTCCCTTTCTTGGCTTCAAGGCTCACTCCCCTGACCTGACTAATTGCATATATATACAATTTTTTCATGAAAAAAATAAGACTTACTTACTTGAATGGTTGTGAGAAGTAAGAAGTGAATTGCATAAAGGTGAGAGAGCAGTGACTGAAAGCTGGAGATTAAAGGCTGAATCCATTGATGCTGTATTAAGGAACTCATAGAGCAAGCACAAACACATACAGGAATCAACATTTTGTGTTGCAGTGCACACTGTGCATTTGTTAATACAGCCCAAGTATAGCAAGTACATAGACAGGCAGAGTGTTCAATAACAGGTACTGTAAAGGCATCAAAGAGAGATGACATCTTAGAAGTTTTCTTTCATCTGTAGGTCAGAAGAAGACAAGCATGAGCTCCACTCCCTACCCCTGACCTGGCAATGTGCACAGTGAGATATAAGACTAGCAGAAGGCTTTAATGATTTACTAAAAGTGGCTTGTATGAAGGGTCCTCCCTGACATAAAACTGCATAAAAGAAATATGGTGAAATGATTCCAATTCGATTTTAACACCTGTTTATTCTCAATGGCGCAACATGAAAAAACAAAATCCTGATCCTCATTTGCAGCGCTTAAATGTAACAGATTAAAGGCTTGTGTGAGTCAGATACACATGCTTTCAATAACGTTCCAAACTGCTCATTTTCTGAACGCTGAAAAAAATGTGTTCTCCTCCCTAGCTGGTAGGCTATTGCTATTCAAGCGCAGTAAGAGGGTGCCGCCACAGTTTCCTGATGACTGGATGCAGATATCCGCGCTGCAGTCTCTCCATGTACGTGTGTTACATGTGTTTCTGAGTCAAGTGTGAGCGAGACAGTGGTTCGGAGAGAGGGATGGAAAATGACAAAATGATTATTCCAAGGAAAGGCTTTTATAAGCCACAAGACTCCCATAACAGATCATTGAGTTTCAGACTTAGTTAAGAATATCTTTCATAATCTAATTGGGCTCTTTTGTAATGTCATTTAAACTCTTTTTAGACACTATCTTCTTTCTCTGTGGTCTCATCAGCTTTAGGCCTGTGCTTGGGATGTGGGTGTGTGCGTGAATATCTGTGCCATGAACAACACAGTAGAGTGTGTAAGATGAGAGCAATATTTTTTTTAAGTATACCTCAAATATTCAGTTTGGTAACATGACACATCTTTAAATCCCTTTCCTGACTTTATCTGGTCATTGTCAGTTATCGCAGTATATTCAGCTGAAAAAAAATGTATTTACAAAGTCATTAGAGATGCATATCATTGCTTGACTTGACTCCTGTCAGTGCTACTCTTCCAACCGATCAATGCTATCTGTTTAGATAAAAAAGGCGTGATGTTGTGCAGAATGTAGGATACATAATAAAGAAATGTGAATTCCTTCCGAGCAATATTAGTCCTCTTTGTTTCTATGTCTCCTACAAGTCCAAAATGAGAAAGCTTTACTTTTGCATCTAGGTTGCTTTTGCCCTGGTGCTTTCTGCCTAGAAGCCCTGCACTTGTCTGACAGAAACTAAACAACGCAGGAAATTTGCATAAACTGGAGCAAACAGCAGAGCATTAACAGTAGCTGCTAATTGGGCAAATGTTGGAAACTAAAACAAAGCTAAAAAAAAATATTCCCCGAGCAGAATGCAAGCATCACCTCTGAATGTCAAGATCGATGAATATGGAAACATCCATCACCAAGGAGTGAAATGGGAAATTAGATTAAGATTAAAGATAAAACAGAGAGAATAAAGGGAAAGGACAAGGCAGACTCAATTACCTCCACAAAGATGAAAGGTGTCCAGTAATTTATGTATAATAATAAGAAGTCAGTGACAAACACAAAGCTTTCATCACATGTGTGGGAGACAACAATTTTCAACACTTTAATATTATTTTTTCCAACCATGCAGATTCTGTGGCAATGTCCTGCTTTTTATGTATTCATTATTATTGTTAAAACTTTTTTTAGAGCTCATTTGCACTCCCTGTTCTTTGTGTTTTTTACAAGCATTGTGTGGACAACCCTGATTTTGCCTTTATATTCATGTTAATCAAAGAAATCTTCTTTTCACATTTAGAACACTGAAAATTTGCCAGATAAACTCTACTAATTTACTCTTCTTCTGTTTCGTCTTATTTGTGTTATTGTTATTCATATCTTTGTAGCATTGAGTCTTAAAAAATCAACAAGCAGCAAACCTCAAGCTTGAGCTAAAAAAAAAAAACGAGAAAAAAAATGCTCACAGAACTTTGTGGAAATACACTATGACACCCACACTAATTCTAACTCATAAAACACTTGCACCATATTAGAATCAAGTTTTTTACAAGTTGTATCACATGTAGATTTTTGACAAATCCACACAAAATTAAGTTTTTAGAGTCTTAGTTTAAAAGAAAAAACTTGCCTGCGGTGAGTGCCTTTTTTGTTTTTTTTGTTTCGTGACATCTCAAGGTCTTGATCAATGGACGTTGTAAATCTGCTGCTAGGGCAGTGGCGCTGCTGAGATTAATCATTAGTTATTCAACCAGGACCACAGGATGCAGCACGGCAGACTGAGAGACAGGCAGCGAGATACTCAGGCAAGCAGACGCGCAGCAGGGTGAATCATCTGATCGGGGAAAAAAGGCTGGGGGGATGTTCAACAGCATCGAGGGGAGGATCCAAAGGTATCAGAGCGAAATTCAGCTTCATCGAATATTCTGAAGGATTTCACATGAAAAAAACGGTTCCTTGTGCAGAATCCTTGCATTTTTTATTTGATGATGAATAAATTCTTCTGGACTGCAGCATATTCTAAAGGAAGCCACAGTCAATGTTCAACTGAAAACATATTGAAGTGTTTGCCTTTCAAATGTATTTCTTGCTTGCACACCTTTTAAATGACATTTGCACTAATCTGTAATTACGGTGTGTTTTTTCCTACTGGGGTGTGGAGCCACCAGTCTGAAATGTGATAGACCTTTTATTCAACATTATCTTATCTGCTACAACTTTCTTTTCTTTTTAATACAAAAGTGATCAGCCATGCAGTCATTAGTTTTCCAATCTGTGGGACACTCCCGCTGCATCTCTCCCTTTCACCTTGCCACTATCTGTCTGACTTTTTCCATCAGAGACACTGGATGCTTTATCTCCACAAAATGCACCACAGTGAAGTAACATCTCACAAGACAGCTGGGGAGCTGATAGGTATCACTCCACAAACAGGCTGTTTCTCCCAGGACTCTCCACTGAGATAATGCGCTCCATTCTCCTCTTCCTGTTTCTCTGTCCCTCTGTCTCCTATTTTGACTCTGTATCACTCTGTCCCTCCACCTCCTCATTCTCCTGGCATCTCTGTATCTCTCTCTCTCTCTGCATGTCTTTCTTTTTCTATCTATCTCTCCCTGTCAGTATGATCTCATGGGGATAGAGGTGTATTACCTCTCCCGGTTGGAGCTCCTGAAGATATTAGCCTTCTGTGTTCTCTCTAACCCAGGATGGAATTAGAAACACCACTCACTGTGTGAGCAAGACATCAGTGCTGTACTCGTTCAGGGTGAAATGGTTGTGCAACAGTGTTTGCATTTGCGTTGGGTGCCAGTTGTCCTGCAGTGTGAGCGTCACCCAGCTTTCTCCGGCCCAGGTTCCCAGTGGTGTTAGGCATATGGTAACCGTGGGATACGAGCCATAGATAAGGCTATGTGTTCCACCAGCTATCCTTTGACGTCACGGACCTCCTCTCTTCCCAATGCTTTCAGATTCAAAAACCAAAATACATATCTAAAAATAAGTCTGTTGTTTTATGGGTCAAACTGACAATCTTTTTTGGTGAGCTGTGTGAAATTCAAATGAAAAGCATCTCATGTTGAAGTGAGGATTCTCCTATATGTTTTGAGTTAGGATTTGGTTTTGATCTGGTTTAGAAATGTCAACAATAAAGTTTTAGCTTGGCAGTGTCAGCAACACTTTGCCAAGTACAATAAATATAATTTTGATCAAGATATAGTTCTGCTATCTATTGGCAAGGGCTCTCTCTGTGGTGTGAGCCATGAATCTCTCATGCCATGAGAACTATTTCGTTGTGACTGGGTCAATATTAACAAAATTACCTGAAACTGAAGTTTTGAACAATGTCCAACTCTACTCTTTACATATTGACAACAGCAACCTCTCACCACTTTAAAGAAAACTGCCAAATAGGGACATAAAAAATAGGACAAATAATGTACGTCCCTGGAAGTTTTGAGTTATACGTTTCGATGAAATCAAAACATTAAGAATTTGGAAATCATTACATTTGGTTTTATATCAGACTGAGAGCAAAATCATTTCATAGCAAAAGAAAAAAAAACATTAATTGGGGAGAAAAATCATGTAAATATTCACTACACAAATTCAGTTAACAATGGCAAAAGTCTTCTTGGCTCTAGATATATAATTTTTTAAGAATATATTAAATAAAAGAGAACTTAAATAAGAAAGTTTAAATAAAATTTGGTTAACTATGTAAT